TAAATTACATAAAGAGAAGATTAATATTAAGTTGCGTGTTGTCTCGCCTAAAAAACTCTATTCAATAAACGCCTATCAATACAATTATTACAAAATAGAAGTACCGTGTTAAATATGGATAGTTCATAGAAACGAGAAAAGGCTCCTTTTCGTCTTTATACAGAAAGAAAGAAAGAAAGAAAAAAACTCATTAAATTAGGTTGAGCCTCCCTAAAGAGACTCGTCGGCGAGAAAATGAACAAATCATTTCCTTTCAAAAGATTACATAACAAAATATTTATATAAAAAGATCTCTTCAGATTTTTTTTCTTTCTTTTTTTTCACAAATTTTTTGAATATTTACAAAAAGTGGGGAAAAGCTTATAATTCTCACGATTTTTCTTTTTTCATTCTTTGATCTTTCATAAAGTTCACCAAATTGCAATTCTTCGTGTGGGATTTTGGTCGCGTTTCACCTGCTAAAATATCCTTTTTTTCCTCAGAGTGATCAACATCCCAATATTTCTCTCTATCATCAGTTTTTCCCCTGATTTCCAAATTCCATTTAAAAATATCTCCTCTGTGTTTGCTCTACTGTTTATTTATTCATGGTTCATCTCGAAATATTTGTGTAATGTGTTGTCAGTGTTCCTTTTTTCCAGGGAACGCTGACAAAATTTCCTCCAACTCTCTAAACCCTAATCATCGTCAAATATACAATTTTTTTTTTCTCCTCAGTAAACACTTAGGTTATTACTTCACTCCTTCCTATATTAATTTTACTTTGTATTCCTTTTTTTTCATCCTATTTTCATTTTTAAGTAAGATCAATTTGTCAATTACGTTAAATCTCTACACATTTAAAGCGATTGTTTTTGCGTAGATTATTTTTTGTTTTTTTTTTTCAATGTTTCTCAATTAACTTTTATTGGTACTATCATTTAATTGGATTGGAAATACATCTTCCTTAAGATTAACGTCAATTTTTATCGAATTTACTCTTCATGTTTTTCTTTTTCTCTTTTTGATTTCTCAACAAGATGAAACGATGCGAAAAGAGACAGTTTGCAAATTTACAAAAAAAAGGAACTCTTAATCTTTAAAATGTATTTTCTTTTTCGTGGTTAATTCTTCGAGATGGAGGGTATTTTTTTTTGTTTTAGGGGGAAACATTGGAGGGTGATTCTTTAAAAATAGAGATGAAAATGCAACAAAAATCATTTGACCTGACTAGACTTGATGATTACAACTCTGTTACAAAACAAACAAACAAACAAGACAATAATAATGCTCTCATGGATTCACGAGAAGACTCTTTGCTGAGCTCGCACGCCCCGCATTTTGCCATTATTCCCCAAAAAAAAGAAGTATATAAATATCATAAATCGAAAAAATAGCGCGTAATTTGTCAATGATGCACGAAACAAGACGCTGAAAAAAACTGTGAAACTGACTTTTCTCCTTGAATTGCGCCCGCAAAGCACTACACTACTCGAAACGGGTGGAAAGAAATGCACTGTGTGGCAGTTTTGCGTAAATTACCACGGCCCGAAAGCTACTCATTTTGTCTGCAAAATTTATATCTCTTCGCTATGCACTCCCAAAAACCTGTCCTGTTTTACATTCTCAAGAGTTTTTTTTTGTCATTTGTAAGGGAAAGAAAAGGTAAAACGACGTAGTTTCATTATTTTTTCATCATCTTCTTTTTTTTTCACCATTCTTCAATAACAAAAAGAAACATTTATTTCACAGCCTGTTTGTAGTTACCTGAATATTTTTCGTCTCTAAGTTTGAAAAAGAAAATTACCGCATTTTTTTGCTCATTTTTTTTCATATCATCAAACCTCGGAAAATAAAACTGATAATGTTTCTATATTCTCATTGCTAAAATATGCTTCTGCTTAAATCGCGTCCAGAGATACGGATGTCTTATCCGTGACATGCTCACTAAAGAAAAGAAAAAAAAAACAAGAACAAAAACATAGCCAACCAATGAATGTTGCAATGTCTTGAATGAATTTTTTTTTTCCATTTCTCCACTGTTTTCGCCTTTTGCTTTACAAAAAAAAAACTCTTTTTGGTGGGAAAAAAAATTAATTTTAGTATCTTATGAGATCACTTGATGAAAAAATGCTTACTCTTTTGTTAAATTATTCACTTTACTTTAAGAGAAAATAATAAATAAGTGTTAGAAACAAAAGAAAAATCCTTCTTTTTAGCCTACAAATAAGATTGACAGAACGATCAAATAACGCCCAAATTATTAATTCTTACTTCTCTCTTCTTTACTCCGCAATATCAAAAATGTGTGTTCCTTTTAGAATTAATTATTTTTCACTTGTTTTTTTTTTTAATATTTTTACACCTCAAATTCTAATTCTCAGTCTTAAAATATGTATAAGATAATTACTATATTTACTCAACATCTATGCTTTCTTCTCTTTCTCCCCTCACGATACATTTTTAGAGTAAAAAACTATTTTACAGAATATTGTTAAAGTGTATTACTTTGTTATGTTACTAATACCGTAAATTAAAAAAGTGTGGGTGTGGCAAAAATTTACCAAAAAAAATTAATGGGAAAATTTTGAATTCTCAGCTGAGAAGATCAAAATGTGTAAAGTGTGTTTCTCTAAATTGCAGGAAAATCGACCAGAGAGACTTCAATGCACTGCCTTTTGAGCAAATTTTCCCCGGAAAATGCCAAAAATTGTCAGAAAACGTCTTCGCTTAAGTGTCTAAATTGCATTTGAAAAGTGCGCGCAGTTGTTCCGAAAGATTAGAGGAAACCGAAAGACAGTTTTTTTTTTATTTGCGAAAAGCTACATTTTTTACGATGGTCCCAAAGGCACTAATAACATCTTTTTTTTATATATATTTTTCCTCGTGCTTAAACACAGCATTAAGAAAGTGTACGCGTCTTGAGCAACCCTTTCAAATGAGAGAGAGACAGAGTCGAAAACTGAAAATTACACACCGAAAAACAATGTCACGTCCTTCGAGAACGATAAATTTAATTGTTGTGTTTTTATTCTTTCCTCCTTCCTACACACATTTTAATCAAACATTATTGTCACATTTCAAGCCGCACGTAAAGAATGAAAGTGAACGAGTTCGCGCGTTTTTCGGGCAAAAGAGCGTCGCCAAGTTCCCGCAGAACGTGTTGAAATGCAGCAAAGAAGCGCGCGCTTGTCACACTGTGAAAAATGGGCCGGGAAAAAGTGTGGCAGTGTCACAAATGTGTGAAATTTTTTAAGCACAGCTTTCGCAAGTGCTTTTTTTCTCGCCTCCACGCAGATGCTGAATGAGGGAAAAAATGCCCGAGATCGCGGTGGTGTGATTATGTGGCTAAATGGCAATTAATTGTGTGACGAAGACATTACCATGCCTCAGCATCACATAATTGCCCAAAAAAAAGAAGCATAATTCAGACGGGTTGTGCAAGGAATAAAATATAATGTTATACAAATAAAACAATCTTCGTGGATAATTTATTGCGAATTTTGCGAGAGAGAGAGAGGAAAAGAGCGCGCCAAAGTGTAAAATTTTCAATGGTCAGTGAATGTATTAAGAGTCTCCATTTGGTAGAGACTCACGAGAGAGAGACAGAGACTATTAGTTTGGTGTCTGTTATCATAAAATTACAATATAGACTGTCCAATTGTGAAATACGCATTATAATGAGACGATCGCGTCTCGCCAGTTGAAGAAGAGTGTGTGAAATCAGTTCTTCTTCAGACAATCCATCATTTCAATCACTCAAAAGCTTATTTTCAATTAATGCCACTCCATTGACACGCAATTTGTATTATTTTTCTAAACTCCAACATGAAGTTTATCTTCGCTTTTTTCCGGTTACTCTTATGGAGCTGTGAATCTCCATATGAAAATGTATGTTTTTATGTTTTTGCTTGTTTGTAAATCTCTCTCCTGCACTCTAATGCCTATCTTTTCACTGTAAAAATCCTAATATGCAATATATATTGAATATCTATCAGCATTAAATGACATTTTATTGACAAATATTGTGCATAATTTATGCCCTGGTGGTTATTTCTCCCAAAAAAGCCGTCACCTTCGTCGCCACGAAAGTGCTAAACTGCGATTACACCGCAAAAACAGAAAGTGGGTTTCTGTGTGAACAACACACGATCGCCGTAACCTCACTTTTGTGCAATTTTGTAACGTTTCTTCAACCTGGCAACACTGGGTTTATCTCGCACTGTTTTCCTCAGTGTATTTCTTTCACTAAATCGAAACATAAAAATTGCTTTCTCTATACACACCACGCTTTTTCCTATTCTCTGCATGATTAATCCTATTCTCCAATAACATCGAATACACTATTATTGTGACAATATTAAGAAGCTTCTCGTTGCTGAGGAGGGAAAGTGTCTGTCGGGAGAAGGATCGCGTGTAAAATCGTGCTGGGTTTTCTTGCTTTTTCATCAATTTTTTTTTTGTTAGGTTAAATCTACGCTGAGTTTTATGTGAGCCTTTTTCTTCTGGGTTTTTCTTTTTCTTTTTTGATTCCTAAAACACTACAACACACTCTTCAAGTATTACATCGCTGTTTTTCGTCAAATTTTTATTTTCTTTTCCAACCGATGATCCAGAGTCATTAATATTTAAAGCAATAGGTTGTGTTTATTCAATAATTGTGTATCAACATCAATTTGAAAATATGTATATTATATATTTTGTGTATTTATATTGTAATATATATCTCTGCACATAAGAGTCAACAATGAATATAATATATATTTAATCATTTTATCTTCTCCTTATTTAAATGTCAATTATGTAGTAAATATAATATGTATTTCACAGAAACCATGAACTCTTATTCTCCGTCATTTAGCCACACAAACTCTCTCTGTACACGTCTCGCGGCGCGGCGCCGCCGATCGACAGAATGATAGAAAATAAAAGTCGGGGGCACGCGAGGTGCCGCGTGGTTTGATTCTGTCCGTGAGAAGGAAATCACAAAAGGGGCGCGGGTTGTCTTAGTCGTGGGCTCACCTTTAGGATGGGAACAGCATGGGGATGTCGAAGTCCGTGAGCATCTTGGACGTCTCCGCCTCGCTGTAGGGGAAGTCCAGGTGGCTGCCCGAGCTGGAGGAGTTGGTCTCGAGGTTGTCGTACGAGTCAATCTGGAAGTCCATGGGCTCGATTATGTGGTTGAAGGCCTCGATGTCGGCCCGATCAGTCTCCTGCTTGATCTCACTGAATTCCGTGTGGTAGTTGTTGTTGAGCTGGCTCTTATCGCAGATCGTGGCGTTCAGGTTGGCATCATTGGACGTGAGCAGCTCACTCAGCGTGTCCTGCTCGAACCCATTCGCGCCCGTGCACTGCGACGGCGGACGCGTGATGTCGTCCGGATACTTCTTCGCCACCATGTTGTACATCGCGCCGTTGCTGTAGTAGAACGCCGTTGGCTTCTGACTCGGCACATCGATGTACCGCGCCATGAGATCAATGGTGATATTCGTCTTGTCCTCGCCGCAGAACGTGTCCAGGAGATCATTGGTGTCCGCCCCGAAGGAGTCATTATCGAGGAACATTTTGGTGTCATTGTCGAACAAGCGCTCCTGCGGATCGAACATGCGCTCCGTCTGCGTGTCCGCGGCCACGGCCAGCGAGCTGTCCTCGTAGAATGTGGCACTTTCGGGTGAGTTGGGGATATGCTCGTTGCCGTCCATGCTGTACACCTGCGGGCCCGTCACGGGCTCATTTATTGCATAGATCGTCTGCCCCTGGTTCGCGGCCGCCACGCCGTTGCGTATCAGCTCCGTGATCGGGCTCAGCCGGATGCGCATCTTGGCCGGGCTGCGGCTGTTGTTGTTCGTGTCGTTCTTCGTCGCGCGCTGGCTGTTGCGCCGCGTCGCCTTGCGCACGCCGCTCAGCGGCGGCGAGCGCGACGTGGACGCCGGCGAGCCCGTGGAACTGGGCGACGAGGCGGACACCGAAGACGGAGACGAGGCAGATGGCGTGGACTTCGTGGGCTTGTTCTGCTTCTTCTTCGGACGGTACTTGTAGTTTGGGTACTCCTGCAGATGAAGCTTCCTCAGCCTCTCCGCCTCCTCAATGTAGGGCTTCTTCTCCTCATCCGACAGTGCCTTCCATCGAGCGCCAAGATTTTTCGAAATCTCCGCATTGTGCATATCTGGGGTCACTTCGGTTATTTTGCGCCTCTCAATCTGGCTCCACACCATGAACGGATTCATGGGCCGCTTGATGTGACCTGGATGGTGTTTCTTTGTCTGCAAAGACAAAACAAGGAAACACAAGGGTAAACTTACTGTCCTAGAGCAGGAGAAGAAAAGGAAAAAAAAGCACAAGTGTTCTTCCGCGATTCAAAATGAGATAGCTTTTAAACCTATGATTGTAGGTCTTGGGTTTTCTCAAAAGTCAAGACCTCACTAAGTCGCATGTGACTCTCAGAGCCTTGAACTTCACATTTCCCAACCTTTGCCGATGATCGACAGCTCTATTCTCCCTATAACACTTAGTTCTGAAAAAACCAACCATGTCAATTTAACCTTTTCCCATCCCTCACAATTCGGTGTTGAAAATCAATGGACAATCCCGTGCACACGCTCAACCATTGACCTTTCACTATTTTGACATTTTCCAACCCCTCCGGAATCCCTACAATTAACCCCCCGCCCAGGAAGTTTCTTTTCATCGGCGCCCGGACGGGAAATGCGGAGGAAGTCCTCGTGTGCGCAGTGTATTTCTCGAATTTCAATCAAAATCGAATTAAATTCCACTCACAGTATTGTGATTGATTAAATAATGATAAAAATTACCAAGTGGGCAACCTTGACAGTTTCATACGGCAATATATTGCGCCCTGTATCGTCTGCACTTGGTATTGTACACACGAAGACGTGCGCGCGAGACTTAAATAATTTATCGAAAGACGAAAAAAAAGCGCACCAACTTTATTCAAATTGCCATGTTTGACGCGTGAGAATGATAAAAAATGTGGTGGCGGAAGTTTTGCATCCCCGCTCGCGGCCCCACAAGATAAATGGCTGATTTTACCCAGACTGAGTGAAAAAAAAGAGCCAGGAAAATTCTCAGGGTGTCTTTGGGCAAACGAGGAGAATTGCATGACTCTCTCTCTCTCTCTCTCTGCCACCCACAAGCAGGCCAGCGCACACATGAAAATCTACGACAGAAACGTGAAATTAAATTCAATTAAATTGCGCAACTTTAATAGTTCAATTTCATGGTGAGTTCTTCTCTCATCATAAAATTCCAAGATGTCTCCATGATTTACTGGTGATGTTCTTGGTCGCTGCACGATTCCATCGCGACATTTTTCCACAGAGCCATTAAAGAGATGCTGAAGGCAGCAAAAAATGCCATTGCAAAATGTGTGCATCGCGCGCGGGTCCGTGAATTGTGCATGGGTCACTCTACGGCGAAAAGCCCCGCGCGCGCGTTCGTCTCGCAGCCAGAAATTCCCATTAAAATGAGGAAGTGAAAATCACTTGTCCTTCTGCCACCCGTATATGTGGAAACTCTCCGCTCATGGCCTCGATTTGTGTGCGTATAAATCACACAGCAAACACTGGCGCGTCGCTGTGTGCAAGATTGACTTCTTGCAGAGATTGTCCGATGAGAAATCCAAAGCCAATCAACCATAAATCCACCTCCGGCGAGGAATTGTCGCGAAAAAGTCCATCACCTTCGCCACGGCGCTCTCTCCGCCCCTCATTTTAATTGCTTGTCATATAAATTTGTGCTCAATGCGATGATGTGGCGCCAATTTCTAACGATCATCAGCGCAGAAGTTGTGTAGACTTTTCTCCACACCCGCAGAACGCGGAAATCTCAATAAAATGGATGGTGTTATTAATAAAATATCAAAAAGTCTCTCTCTCATGCCATTTGGATGCGAGGCGCGAGAGTGAGATGGAATGGAAATGTGCAAGGTTACCACACTTGAGATAAAGTGGAAGAATCACTCGAAAACACCTTGAGATACTGTTGACGGATGAAGGTATATAAAATCCCTCATCTCGCCACACAAATTCCACGTGTGGGTGGACTTGAGTGCCTCTGACCACTCAAAGCGGCGGCCGGCGGGGGGCAGCCACCGGGCGCCACTGCAATCTGCGCAGTTCGCGCTGCAGCGCTGCAAGGAGATAAGTCACACGTCTTAGGATTTCTCCGAACTCAAGATACTGACACACCCTATGCGCTTTCCACACGCCAGAACTCTGTGTTTTCCCACCTTTGCCGAACTTCCACAGCTCAGTTTTCCTGTCATGAGCCAAAAAAAAATCCGGCACTTGTAAATTCAATTTCCTCGACACTTTTCTACGCGTAACATTACACGCGCCTGTGCTGATTTCCTCTCTCGAAAATTCACATGTAATTTTCGAGAAGAAGTGAGGCATCCGCTATCTTGTGGAAAATTCCACACTGAGTTCCCCCTGAAAGTGCTAAACTACTCTAATTTTTCAACAATCATACATCATCGAGATAATTTTTCCGCTGAATCTCACCCGTCTCGTGAATCATCCGTGCCTAATTAATTCCGCGCGAGCGAAAAGCGCCCTCTCAAGGGGTGTGCGTAGCGCGCAGGAGAGGCCCTGAGGGTGGATTACGAGGGATATTAGAGCGCCCGGCGAGTCGTAAAATATTGTAATTATTCTAATACCGCGCGGACCCGAGCTGGCTTTCTTGAGGCCCCCGCGCACACTTTCCTCCGGCACTCTGTTGCTGCGGGGGAGGCGGTCAGGTAGATTTGTCATAATTAGTGTGAAGCACGCGATGTCAGTCAACTCTGGGCTGCGACACTCGCGCCCGCGGGCTGCGATTCAAATTGTAACGTATATCTCGCTGGGTGAAATTGTGCCTTGGACAATTGCTCGAAAATATCTCAGTGCGAGCAGAGATGATTTACTGTTATGCCTCGCGGTGGTCAATTACTAATAACCTACAAATTGTCTCTAGCCGAGATTTCCCTGCCCAGTGCGCACCTATTATCCCCTAAGTTACACTTAATTCGCATCAATTTCATCACCACGAGTGTGTGTTTGTGGCGAGATCTGGAAAAAATCCATCTGTATCGGCGCCATCTCGAAAAGCGCCGCATGGAAATTTCTCTCCATGCCTCGAAAGTCTCTCGATGTAAGAAAATTACACCCAGAGAGCTCAAGTCTAATCATCGTGCCAGGGAAAAGATAGGTGCACATATACATATAATGGGAGAAAAAATAAAGCGCAACTTTTCTGTGGTTTCTCAGTCAGAAAAAAAGAAAGAAAGAAAGAAGAGGCGCGCAAGAAGAAAAAGACCGAGAAGTGCGAAGCAGAGGAGATTTCCATGAGGCCCCCGATAGTACACAAATCATCATGTTAGACAAAACGGAAATAGTGTGAAATAAATGTTTCGAGATCATTAATTTTATTGTGGTTATATTTTTTCCCTCCGACTTCACAGTTCCAAGAGGCGCGTAAGAATTTTCCAACTGCGAGTGTTGTGAGCAGAAAATTAATTTCTCTACAAGATATTGCTACGGTAAATTATTGGGTGTATTTAAAAAGCAACAAATTTTCGACAAAATTAAGCAATTAATCTAACACTCATCCACTTTATGGCCATTTCCACACAACTTTTGCTTTCTGGACAAGACAATTTCAATTTTCAGCGAAGGTGACAGTGAAATTACCCGTCAATTCATCCCAAACACTGGACTTTTTGCCCATCAATCCAGCCGCGAAGAATCTAACAATAACCCTAATTATGGGCCTCGGCGTTATTTTCATAAATTAATTCATTTTAATTGGCTCTCAGTCACTATTGCCCAAAAATATCTGGCCTTGCCAGTGTTTTTTTTTTACTTCTTGCGTCTGTACTTTTTGGAAAAAATCCACCCAGCGCTTGGAAAAAAAATGAGTTGTTTTGCAAGTAAATCTTGCGCTGTGTTCTTGGCCATATCGGGCGGTACATCATTAATTTTGCCCGCATGTAATCAAGAGGCACGTTTTGGCGGGAGATTTCGGATGGGCGCAATTTGAGTGTGTAGGCCTGAAAATTTTGTGAGAAGAGTGCACGCAAAAAAACCCGCGACTCATGTGCCAAGTAAATTAAATTAAACGTGTGAAATATGGATTAGATGGAAATTAATTTAATTATCCACCTATTCTGCCCACTTTTTACGCGCTCGCACCAGAAATCCCTCGACACTCGAGTGGGGATGTGGAAAGCCAGTCATCTGTGTGACTCCCTTATCACCCCCCCTTATCGGCGATATCATGCAGAAAGGCGGGCCACCGAAGGGCGCCTTCAACTCCGCCGAGAACACATGTTGGCTGGCGAAAATGCATCATGCAATCGTGACGTGTCACCACAAGAGTTGAGAATTATGCACAACATTTTTTTTTTTTATGAGGCTCTCTCGCGTATTGTATAAACAGGCAACATTAATATTTATACGCCACAATCACGTATTGGGCAACATTGGGGGCTTTAATTGTTACTATTAAAATAGTGGATTTATTAAATGTGCGCGCGCGATTCTTTTGCCAGCCAAGCAAAAACACTCTTGCCATATAGTACTGAAAAGTGTTAACACAGATAGCAACACACCATGAAATGATTTTGATTTATATCTTGTCTCACTTTGCCTCCACACTGCGAATTTTCCAATGCCTCCCCAGAGGCCCTACTGGCGATTTTTCCACCGCCGCGGCCACAACTTGTGCCCCTCTCGCAAAATCAAATGCACAATTCTGGCCAGAACTCTATTATAATCCAATTACGCAATGCCCTTTCGTTAGGTAATTTAATGCAAGTTCAGGTGAGTTCTTCAAGCGTTAAAGTGGCGCTCTTTAAGACGTCTAAGAACAAGAACATCCGTGAAGGATGAAAAAAAATCCAGCAATTCCACGCAAAATGAAGTTGCATGTGCGCGTCACTGAATTGGGTGGGCAAAAGAAGTAACATTTTGCATTTTGCAACAATTTCATTTACAAGACAATGTATTAAATTTATTTGCTTGCCCTCACAGATCATGCAACATGCAATCGTCTCGTCACTCTCAACAGTTCTTCATAATGAAATGTGACGTTGAAATACAAAACGATCGCATATTCTCGGAGCCGCGGCTGGGGTTGGGGCAATGGGCGTTGCAGAAGAGTGAAAAATTACGCCATGAGCAGAGAATCTGATAAGAATTGCCCGAATTGCCACGGATTTTTTTCCTCAGCATATGGACTGACGGGTGTCGGGAAGGCAAATACA